AGATATTAATAAGGAACCAGCAGATCAAGTAGCTTTTGGAATAAAACACCAATTTTTTTAAAATTAAACACTATCTAAAGATTTGCATCGAAGCGTTTATTTTTGATAGTGATTTTAATCACTGTCAGATATCATTTACTTGATCCAACTATGCCACGTCACCACTGTGCCGCGACCCCCCTGTGCTGGGTTTTTAATAAATAAGTTAATTTTTATCAAAATAAATAATTACAACTTGTTATTTAAAATTAAACCTATAGTAAAAATATTATTAATTTATAGCTAAAAAATATTAAAAATATTTAACTCAAAAAGCCATAAAAAAATTACTAAAAATTGCGAATACGTATTTCGGGAACTATGTTACCATTACTAACGCCAAACACATAATGACATCTTTTTCAAAAAAATAATCCCTTATATAGCCTTTGTGACCTTATCACCTAATGACGTTATCACTAAGTAATATTATCATATTTTGCCAGTTTACACACGTTTAATAATGTATTTTTTAGTGGGCCAAGATCCCAATTAATTAAATTGTTCTTATTTTAAACATATATAAGGGAGGCCTTATATTAATTTCTTAGTAATTATTTACGTTTTTAATTAGTGTTATGGTTTTAATGGAGTGATTTTGTGTCAATAAATGTTCAGTCGCCGGAGATTTATCAACTTGTTGATTTTTAATATTTCTTAAGTGCTCTTTAAACCTGACTCCTATATTTCTTTTTGTTTATCCTACGTAACATTTATTACAACTTTCACATTGTATTTTATAAATGCTTAATTGTTCTTCCTCTTCTTTATTTTTAGGATTAATTAATAAATCTTTTAAATAATTTTTTTAATTTTTTTGTGGCTTTTTGAGTTTAATATTATTTAGTTTAAATTAATCATATTTTAGTTTTAAATTAATAATATTTTTAATGTAATATATATTCTAAACTCTGTAGACATTGAAAACAAGTATACATTGAAATTAATTTTTGTGAAGTGTTTTTAATTTTTTTTAAATATAAAGTATTATGAATTCAGAACATTGGCGATTGCTTAACAATCGTGCAAAGGAAAATACCACATACTCTCCCTTCCTCTATAGATATGTTAATAAATAACACCCTAATTATCTTCATGAATAATCCATTAATAGATTGATTGAGAATTGAACTGTAGGATATTTCTATATTTTATTTCAAAGTTGGTAATATATGCAATTTTTTTTATAACTAAAAAATTATATATATTAAAAATAAATAGTATTTTTAACCAAAATGTTCTAATTATAGAACACTATTACTCTATAAGCAAGATTTTGAACTCTATTTCACATATAACAAAAATTGATCACTTGAGGCTGATATTATTTAAAATATAAAATAAACTAAAAATATAAATTTAAAACTAACAAATATTAGACAAATATAAATATGTGATTCTTCTTTTTTTATTTTTGTGGTTTTTTGAGATATATACTTTAAATTTAATTATTTTTAGCGTGATCATTTTTGTTATGATACTACTTTTTAAGTTCAATTTCTTCAACTAAAAGCGATTTTAAATCTTTTGACGTATTGTTAAAAAAAAATTTTCCAATGAGATATGATAAAAAGTAGTGAGAGACACATAAAAATAAAAATAAATCATAGCAAAATTAATACTTTTTTAGCTTTGCATGGAAGCTAAAAAAAAAACTAAATTAATTTTTTCTATTTTACTGTGGAATGGTTAAAAACATATTTTCAAGAACGTAAATAAATGATGTCAGTCGTTTTCTGCTATAAAATATTTTATGTAAGTTTCGATTACATTAATTGATTTGTGATTAACGGTATTAGTGAGTATTATCTGAGTGTACAATGATTTCAAGCGTGTAAATAGAATGTCTTCTTGCGGCAATGGTCAATTAATTTATCTTGCTAAAAAAACTACTATTTCTCCAGTTGGATCATCACTTCTATAAGTGATTACTTAGTTTTTTTACATTTTTATAGAAACGCCATTTGGTTTTACTTTATATATATCTTGTTAACATTACGACGTTTAGGCGTCAATAGGTCACACGTTTTTAATTGATGACTAAAACTTATGCTCATCAATCTTCCGGGTGTGTTAACCATACTTGAAGAAATTTTCTTTATTCTAATCTACTAATTTAACACTTATAGCGTTAAGTCAGTTTTAATTTAAGATCAAGTAACATATTGTACTCTCATTTTTTCTCTTATAGTACAAATTAGAAATGTAAAAATAAATAATAAGTTATTATAAAGTTAAAATAATGTTTTTTCTTAAAGAAAATTAAATGATGGTTGTCAATAATAATAAAATGAAAATTTAGATAAAATACAAACAGATATAACTTTGAATGAATTTAAAATTAAATATTATTTTTAAATGTTTATCATTATTATTGTTATGAAAATATTCTAAATAAAAACCTCAATATTTTTAATATTAAAATAATTTTATATCCTTAATTTTTAGCCATTTTTATTTATCAACACCGATAGTAATCATATTCCATATTTAATTACCATGTTCTACTATATTAGAGTACTTAACATTAAATTCACTATAATCAGTCTTGCAGGAGGGTAGCTGAACTTGCATGATCGCTCTAGATTCGTGTATACATGGCTGTCCACGTAAATACTCTGTTGCTGGTAAACGAGCAAGTAATGTCTTTTGCTTTTTAATCAAATTTTGATCGAAATGACATTCTGCAATCATTTTTTGGGGCTTATTTATTAAGCCGATAAGTTCGGAAAAATCATAAAGACTAATGCAGGCGTTGGAGAATTTGTGACTATTCGATTTTTGAGCCAATTGAGCTAAATGGGTGTAATACTGCCCGTAAATGTCGTGAATAGACTGTCGACATCGACCCACACATTTGTCTGGTGGAATACCATATAAAATTCTTATATGCATAGTTATAAGCTGCAAACATTTCAAAATGCAGTTATATTAAAAAAACAATATAAAATAAATCATAAACCTTCAAATAAACTTTCCATCCTATATAAATTATCTTATTACTTTTTCAAATTAATACAACATTCAGTTATAGACGAGAGGGGTGCACAATGTAAGATATAGTGGAAGTATGTAGTAAAATAGTATGATATAAACAGAATGTCACTAAACACTACCCCAATTTCTTCATCTTAACTAAATTTTAAATGCTTATATCTCAAAAATTAATAATACAAAACTAATTATCAATTAGTAAAAATTTTATTTGGACCATTCCCCTTTTTTATAAAAATATAGTCACACATTTTTAATTAACTTTCAAAAGTTATTCCTAAAATGTATCCTCAGAAATAATTTTTTTATATAGAGCTAGGAATTATATGCATTTATAAATTTTATTTAGCTATTCTGAACACGACATTAGCCAATATCAATTTTTATTCATTGGTTTGAAAACTTAGTTCAAATGTGTTATTACCGAGGGTATAACTTGGGATTGTTTAGGTAGGATACCCTCCCTCTTAAACAACAATTAAATCTAGGCTACTTTATAATCTTACAATAAGTTTCACAAAATGAGGACTCTTTAGAGTGGCTCAAATGTAAAAATTATAAATATATGAGTCCCATATATAACATTCAAAATTAACATTACAATCTTTACATTTTTTTTGCTACAAATTCTTTAAACCAAACGAATTAAAAAAGTATTTAACTTAATAAGTCATAAAAATTATAAAAAAAAGGTCTCAGATTCGTATTTTAGATTTCGGAGTCGGGAACAATATTATCATTATCAACGCTAAACAGTTTCTTACTTGGGCGTTCTTAAAAATCCGTTATTGTTTTCGCGTTGACAATGTTTCCTATGATATCACTATCGGATGTAATAAATACTTATTTAACTACTGACTTTTAAAATTTATTACAAACATTATTGTTAATATATTCCTTCAACATTGTTTACTATTGCTTAATATCACCAACTGTTGTTTTAAATTGTATACATAGTTATTTATTGAAATAATCTTACATTATATGATTCATTTAAGAATAAGTAATATGAACGTTCATAAGCTGTACCAATGATACCATTTAAAATGACATTAGTAGGAATTATTTTTTATTATAATTTAACAATAGGACAATTGGAATATCACAGTGGGTTTTATAATAACTAAACATCATTTTATCAGTACCATTTATCAGGGAATATAAATTCAATGTTAGCTGTATAAATATTTAAAAAAGTATCCATATGAATAGCTCAGTATAATTATAATAATTTTAAATCATTTAATAAAGTCTATCAAGACTAATGAAATTTAATTTTATTCAATTTAAAATTTGATATATATGCTTTAGTTAATACATATTAAAAATTAATATATGTTCTATATGTTATTCCGTAAGTGAAATTTCTTATTATATTCTAATAAATTATTACAAATATAAGATGTAAACTACAAGACTAAATAATATTCACTTTTATATGCTCAAAGTCTGTAATATTTATAAATGGTAAAACTCTGCTGTCTATCAGTATCAGTTTTTTTCCGTCAATGTTATTGAGCTTAAATGTATGCTGTAAAGACAAAATAACATTTTATATCAAATTTTTTATTTTACAAAATCAGTTTAAAGAGTTTTAAAGTTCCCTAATTTATATCTAGATGAATCAGAGAGTTCTATTGTATAAGTAACTTGTAAGTTTTAAAAGGCATATAATTAGTGATATTATTAACGGGAAAACTTTTGAATGTTTCGAAATGCTAAGCAGTAATTATCTATTTCGGCGATAAAAATTGACAAATTCAATATATTTGACAATTATAATTCAATATTATTAATACAAATAATTTTTGTTACTAATACTTACCACATATTGTGGCAATTTTAATTTATTCTCTACCCAATTTACTACATCTGATACAGACCATGACCAACTTAATGGTTCTTTTAATTTATTAAGTGAATTCCCAGCTATATCCATTAATGATTCAGGAAAATAAATGTTCCTGTAATGATACGATGTTTTAATAAGCAATTTAAATTTGTTTATTTATAATTCATTTCTTCCAACACACGTTTATAATATATTTATCTGCAATCTTATTGTAAAGTTATGTAGGATCATACATTTATAGATATTATCACAAATCATTTAACATTAAAAAAAATTGATGAAATATTACGCAATTTTTTTTTAAGGTAAAAAGTCAAGAAATAAGTTAAAAACTGCTTGAACATTATAAATTTATTTTTCTACGAAAAAAATTATCAGGTTACACAACTCACGTTCTTATTTATAAAATGATTTATGTAAAATATAATATTAGAATATATTATCTTACATTTATAGAAGAAAATGTTCAAAGTTTGTTGCTAAATGACTAATTTTAGTTAAGAAGTATATTAAATAAACAAACTTTCAACAAATTCAATATATCTCTATAGAAACACAAAAAACAACATACTATGAAAAATATTAATTGTATTGTAAGATTGTAATGTTATTAAAATTTTATTTTTTAATTTAACAAAATATAAACATGTTTGGTAATATTAATATTCTTTTTGAGATGTGAAATTTAGAAAGTAAACTAAACATTTTTATTTTTATAGGCCCAAATAATATAAATGTATATATATTATAAGATATTGATTCTATATAGTTTAAATTTATTGTTTACTAATAAGTGTACAAATTATATGACGTAACCAATCGCCGATCTGTCAAATTATTGACGTTAATTAAGGTCGAGTTCATATAGATACTTGAAATTTAATTTTAATGATCTTATTTTTGTACCAGAACTTCTTGACATTTAAATAAACATAAGAATTTTATAAATAAAATATATAGTATTATTTTTTTTAGGTTACATACACATATAGTAAGTGTTTAGCACTTTTGATGGTTAACATTGTTTTCAAAACACGTACACTCAATTTTTTATGACTTTTTTAATTAAATATTTTTTAGTTTTCAATTAATATATTATATATTAACTAATACACAATGTTATTTTTTACAAATAAAAATAAATTAAAACATTATCTTATTGAAGAAAGAATTTATATAAAAAATGTATAGTGCAAATACCAAAAAAAAAAAAAAATTAAACTATAACTATATGTGCCTTAAATAATTGTTAAATAATTCCCTTGCATCCTACGAACATAATTTTTTAAAACGACATAAAATACAGAGAGTGATCTAAAACGCGATAATCACATAGTTCATTAAATTATGGATTATCGAAAAAAGTGTATTTAAATTATTACAAGATATTACTGATTCTATTTTATTTTTAATATATTATATGAAGTATTCCCTGACTTGTATTTTCAGCGACCAAGAAATCAAAGTATGGGAGTAATAAAGAAAAGATGTTAAAATGTATAATTTTTTTGCCAGTTTAAAATTTTTCTTTTTACTATCCTAAAATATATAATAAAATATCAGCAAAGAATGCCAGTGCGACTGCACCAAGTTATGATATAAGTAATATGTAAGTATATAAAAAAATTTCATAAACGAGAAATGGTAGTTATTATTTTAAAAACGTTCAAGAAATACAATCGAAGTTATTACTTATTAAAACAAACAATTAAGTAGATTACATTTTTTTTAAATATTAAACCTGAAAATATTTTTCATAATAAGGTTTTTGATAGTCAATTATGGATTAAAAAAAATTAAAGTTAGTAATTTTATTTAAAAGTAAAAGTTGATTATCATTAAATGTTTTAGGTTAAAAATTATTGTTTCAATATATAGGAACTAAAAATATAATATTTTATTATTATTTTATAAGTTATAAAAAAAGGATACTCTGTATAATTATTTGTATTGATTAAAAATATAACTAGAAATATTCATAAATTATAAAATAAAAACAAAAAAATCACCATCTATTTTAAATATACTAATAAAAAAAAACTACATTATTAAAAAACCTTTAATATGTTCAATTGAAAAATAATGTTAATTTGTGATAAAACAATATTTGATTTATTAAGAATACTTTCAGATAAATCTTATATATAATTGATATGTCTAAATATATACTGTATATATATGTCTTTATATACATATATATAATTGTATACATAAATAATTCGTGTAGAGTTCATCTTCGGAACAACAGTTACTGGTCCAAAGTTGGAGCTATACTGACAGCTTGTAATGTTTTCTACTTATTCTTATCATTTTTGTTGTTGTATTACGTTGTTTTTGTTCGTCAACATTTAACTATTGTTGCTTTTAGAATTTTTATTTTTGTTATTTATGAAAAATAACTGGCAAAAAATGATTTATATTTTCATACTTCAAGTTTTCATCTGATACTTGATTTTACTTTTTCATTAATTTAACTCATACTTCATTATTTTACAATTTTAACTATTTCGTTGCAATATCTTATATTTTTGGGGGTATTTAACACTTAATGGCATAGCTATTTTAGAAATTATTTGACTTCTATTTAATTTTTATTTATTTGAATTCATCTAAATTTACCAATATGTATACGATTTTAAACAATATTTCAATAAAAAATAATGTAGATTTAAAAGAAAATGTAATTACAACTATGACTTAAGAAATTCAGTATTTTCTACCAAGTGACTGAAAAATTACTATATGTTCATTAAGTAACAAAGAGTTTGTTTTTATTTGAAAAACATTACAATTGAAAACATTAAAAATTTAAGAAAATAATGAGTTGAAATGTGGTAAATGTGCATGCTTTATTTTTTTTTTATACTTAAAATCTAATTACTATTTAATAGTAATAAAATTATTTTTTCAATATGACTCTCTTAAATAATTATCAGGTATAACATAAAAACACTCAGAGTATCTGAATTTATACTAAAAAGTTTTTGTCTTTGTTAATTTTCACCCTTTAGTGTTAATTTATTTAATCTATTTGGGTAAATAGATTATATTTATCAAATATATTCAATTCATTTTGTCTTTTTAGTCAATTTTTGGCTAAATTACTCATGCACTTCTACTACTATATTATTGTAGTTAATTTTTTTATTCTATTTTTAGCATAAACGTTTGTTATGTTTGTACAACAGTTTAAATTTTTACTTTATATTTTATTTGAGTCTGAATATATGTTATCATTTACATTAATTAATGTAATAATTTACATTTACTAAAAACATACGCTCTGATTATAAATACATAAACATAAATATGTTATTTTTTATAAACAAAAGTTAAAAAATTAAATATTTCGTCAAAATATTGCTACTTTATTTATTTGTGCAGTTTCAACAATAATTTCACTACTAATTCTTCCAAGATGTCTATTTTGCGTCTGGGGTTTTATTGCTTCAATGAATAACTAACTTGGGATATAAATACATTTCGTTAATATGACGCTAAAGAGTAATTTTTGAAGTGAGCAAAAATAAGATACAAAAATTGATGAGCAAATAAAAGGTCATTGAGAGTCTATTAATTAAGTGCGATGAGGCACCTTAGATAATCTCATTGAGCCCCCTTTTCCTAATCCGGTTATGCTCACATAAAAATTTAAAATTATTTGAATTTTCTAATGATATCAATACAATTAAAAACACAAGTTTTAATAAAATAGAATTTTGCATTTAATGATTACAGATCTGCGTGAATCGATTTTAATTTTTAATTTTTTTTTTCTATTCTTTTGTAAAAAAAAAAAAAAGATATCATGTGACTAATGGTTGGTAATATACACTATTTTTGCTATCCATGAGATCAAATTAAATTGAACATATTGTATTTATCTACTTCGCTATGAACACATACATACGAATACGATATGCGTCAGTGCAAACATAGTTACCCAACAGAAAATCTAAAATAATATTACAGTTTGTCTAGACCACCAGACCGTGAATTATTCGCACAATATCCCATCGGATTCTCTTCATTATTTCACAGTACTTTTATTTTTCGTCGTTTTCCCACCTAACATACGATATTGACTTGACCAAATGTGGTTGTTTCGACAAAAATTGTATTTTTCGTAACGTGGACAGAACAATGCAGACCACAGAATTATTTAACAATAAAGTGCTTATATATAATTAATAAAATAGCGTAGAAAAGCGAGTGAACATTTAACACACCCGAACTCAATGCCCACTCAGTCATAAATGGGTACTAACATGTTACGGATAAAGCCGTTTAGGATGATTTAATTTAACTTTCATAGTATTTATAGCGATATACTCTTTACAAAAACCGGAAAATTGCATAATCGTTTTCATTCCTTATGTATTTATTAATTTTCTTTGAATTTAATGTATCCATTGTATACTTTATAATAAAGTAACATTAATTTTTTTTTGAGAGGATTTTATTAAGTTATTCTGGGTGTTTGATTTTGGGATTTTCATTATTTTTTTAGAAATTATTGAAAATTTGAATTTTTGTTAAGAAAAAAATTGTTTGGTTTGGAAAATTTTACAATAATACAAAACATATCGTCTATATAAAAACGTATAATTAATATCATTAATATAACAAAACGTTTATTCCTCATAAATTTAATCTGAAATTGTTTTGCTTGTGATTAAAAACTGAAAGTGGGTCAAAGAATTTTTTTACTTAGCTTTATACAGGATGGTTCATTCTACTACTCAATTTCTCTTAAAATAATTTTTTTTTTCTTTTGTTAGTTATACATTTATTTTTATTTATGTGTTATAAAATATTTTTTTTGTACATCCATTATACCTGATAAGAACGCAATTTTTTTTTATAATAGTAATATATATATATATTTAACTAGCTTATAAAATAAAAAAAAATTTAAAAAAAAAAAAAACTGGTTGATAATAACTTATAAACTATATATCAGAAGTTTTTAAGATTTATATGCCGTCGTCGGAGAAGAGGTAAGGCCGAGAAAATGTCCATTGATGAAAGTAGCAGCATTCGCGCTTTACCTCTAGTCAATACTTTATATTATTAATAACTTCTAAAATATTGGCCCAAAAGTTGTTATCAATATGATATTTTCTTATTTACATAATTTTTATTTTATAAGCTTGTTATATATGTGTGTCGTCATATAAAAAAATTAAGTGATACCTCTATAAGACATAAAAAATGAACATAAAAATTATTTTATATATAAAATGTTATATATTTGATATAACAGATAATTGATATACACATTTAATTAAGAAAAACAAAAAAAATTTCATAAAAAAATAATTATTTCAAGAGAAATTGAGTAGCAAGATTTGTAAAATAAAATTATTGAGTTTCATATTACACACTCGAGAGATTTTTCAAACAATCGCCGTTATTTCGATATCTAAGTAAATATTTTATATTTATTATTGCGCTTTTAATAAATAATAAAGCTCAATTGTAATTTTATTTTCAACCAATTTAAAATAATATTTGATATCATCTTGATTTATTATTTATTATTTTATACAGGTTACACGTATTTATATAATGTATAAAATATGATTGCATTCATTTCGTTATGTATGTGAGAAAAAATTTAATGTAATAAAATATTTTAAACGAATATTAAAATGAACATATTCATGGTACTAGTTTTTTCTGTAAGTGGTAATTATAGTAGACAAATAATACTTTATTTCTAGGAGTTCTAATCGCTCGTTATTAAATTATTATCCTAAAATATATTTTAGGTTTTGCACAAAATTAATTATTTAATAAAATTTACATTTTTATATATAGAGAAAAAAATTTCGAAATGCTAATTAACTATTTAAAAAAAAAATTATAATAAGTAGGGTAACACCAGCAGTGAATGATCATTACCAGTAAAAGAACACCATTGAATTTATAGATAAAAAAATTTTCTAATCTGATTATAAAAATTTGTAGTTAGTAATTTTTACAACAAAGAAAATATCTAAATTAAGTCCTACTATATTATCACAATTTTTGATACAAAATAACTAATGATTCATTCATATTTTTGGTTTAAAATAATTAATTAAAATTTTTGTTTTAATAATAAATATGTTTACATTATAGTTGTAGAAAATTTACCAAACAACAGATATTTATTATCTTTATGAATGGTATTAAAATATAAATCAATGAACTTTAAAATTGAATATCTCTGAACTAATAATTCACTTATGATATCATCCTATCCATTTTTTTTTACATAGGTTTCAATATTTACAATCACAGTGAATGCAAATTATTCTTTAGCACAAGATTTAGTCAATTTCAATACAATTGACGCCATAGATTCACTCAGGAAATGCTTTGGAAAGGAAAATAAAGGTATTTTACCTAGCTGCGATTTTATATATCATCTGAGACACTTATATAGTTAAAAATTTAGATAGGATAAAAAATATGTAGTTATCTAATTATTTTATAAATTTTCTTTATCCTAAAAATTTTATTCGAATTTCTACGTTAATTTAAATTCCAAACTGAGATCACTTACATTTTTAAAAACAGTTAAAAATGATATTTTATATTATGCTTATTTCATTATTTCAAAATATTTGTTTTTATGTTTTTTTCGTAAAAATATTTAACTCTTCAATGACCAATTTTAATAGGTATTCTATACCTATCTTTGAATGTTTAAATATAAAATATTTAACATAAATTAATGTATACTCATTAGGGTGTCCTAAGTAGTTTGGTTTTCTAAATTTGTTTTGCTTATTTTTAAGTGTAATTAATCAATTTAGGTATGAGAAAATTGAATTTCAAAATTTCATATTTAAAAATATCTTTAATACTCATACTGTATTATAGTTAACATCTCATCATTTAACTTGTCAATTATTAATTCAAATTTTTATATTTTAATGAAATATAAACTGGTCAGTTTCTACCATTAAAAAAAATCTAATAATAGGCTATTTAAAGTATTTAATATTTTAAATATTTATTTAAAGAATACATAAATGTGGTAAACAAAAACAATCAAGATAGATTTTATAATAAGATGAACAATATTTGTAAACATTTTTGCTTGTCTCATAAACAAATCGTATCTGAATACAAACTAGTTGAAGATTTCCTTTGTGACATTATTGATGAATCTTGTAAAAAAACTGTCAGAGAATGTATTAAACGATTTCACGATCATTTGTTTGATGTTGATATTGAGAAAGGAAGCAATGAAATTTGGGTAAATTATGACTTAGTAAATATTTACAATAAATACATATAAAAAAAAATTGTACAAAACAATATAAATAAAAAACAATAAAAATATGCACAAAGAAAAATAAAAAATTCTTGTTGTATAATATTTTTTTTAAATATAATATTTAGGGACACATGAGTAAATCTCAAAGAGAATTGATAAAAGATATCACATTGAAAATAAAATGCGATTTCAGGGTGAGTGTTTTATTATTATTTATAGTTTTTTGTTACTTAATTGTTCATTTTATTTTTAACCAACTTTAAAACTAACATAAAAATCACTTGAATTATTTTTCGAAAATTTTTTTTTTATTTTATAAATAGAACGATGAAAAATCTTTGAAAAAAAATTTAATTTCATTACAAAAGTATTTAAGAACCTTATTATGTAAGTAAAATTAATAAATTCTTTACAGTATTTAAGTTTTAATTTCACTTTAAACTCACTTTAATTCTATGCACTTCATCTAATCCTACAAGTTATTATCGTGTCAATTCGTTGCGAGCAAATCATTGCGCAGAGATTAATTCATCGCCAAAATTAAATTTTTAAAAGATTTATGATTTTTCAAGGATAAGAGTTAAAAAATTAACCTTTGAAAGTTTCTAATTCAATTAAGATTCAATAAGCCTTCAAACCTATGATATTTATGATGAGTATATCAAAAAGGAGGAATCTAAAAACATTTTAGTGAACTTACCTGCTCAATAACTCTTAAAAAATGTACTCCATTAACCATTTCACTTAGTTTTATCTAACTAAAATCAAGTAAAAATATTGTAATATTTTTGTTTCTCTCTAATTTTTGATTTGTATAATTTAAAAAAATGTAATGTAAAGATTTTCTAAGTAGCATTAATAAGATGGTAAATATATAAAATTCGTTTACATTTTTTGATGCATAGTTGAGTAGGAATAATGGAAAACATCATTTTTATCTAACTTTATAATAATTTATTTTCTAAAATTTTATTTTACCGATGAATAAACATTTATTCATATTTATCTGAGTTAAAAATCATTTACACTAAACTTACCTTACTGAAACAAAGTGTTTTGCATTATATTAGTCATATGGTAAGCAGTATTACAGTAACTGATCAAATTATACAATACTTATTCTCGATATTATATCATATTCAGTATTTTTTTATTATTCAATAATGCAATAAAAATAATATGATAATTCAGGAAAAGTTGATTTGACGTTAATTATGTTTCAGCTCAAGAAGACAGTATACATCAATAAAAATGTAAAATATACATATAGTGTAATTTTTTTAGAGTGATTTTACTTGGAAATACTCAATTAAATTTCAAAAGAAGAAAAAAATTCCGTATATAAAAATATACATGAAATAATAATATTTTTAAATATTATATTAATGTACTATAATTTTAAAATTTGTAAAAATATAATGTATTAAATTATTTTTTCTTTGAAAAATCAATGTAAAGATAAAAATACATTTTCCCTTGATCCCAAATTTTATAGATATTTTTAATACTGCCATAAATATTTTAATTGAATAACTAAAATTATAAGTTATTATACATATCTTATAGTAACTAGTAAATCATACGTTGTAAAAGTAGATGTGTCTTAGTAATAAAATAATTGTTTGAACATTTTTTTTAAATGCTTTCAAACAAACATGAAAATATATGTATGATGCTTTTTTTTATATTTCCTCTCGTTAAATTGTCTTAAATATCTAAAAGTCTACTATTATTACCATTAGTTAAATTCGAAAAAATTAGTTTTAATAATTATTTAGAAAAATGGAGGTATTTATATAGTTTGTAACTCTTTTTGGTTATTCTTTAATTTTACTCATTTATGTCATTTCATTAAAATTATCTGAAAATAAGTTTAATATCAAAATTTAAATAAAATATGGCGTATCAAAATGTAATCAGCCAATTTTTGTACTTCACTATAAATTATTACATTTTAGGTTGCACAAGGTGATATTTTAGCTTCGATGCGAAGCTGAGAAGGTATTAATTTTACTATGATGTGTTTTTTTTTTTATTTTTTTATTTTTTTTTTTATTTTTTTTTTTGTGTCTGTGAACGCTCAATCTCAGCTCTCGCTGGACCGATTTTGATGAACAATATGTCAAAAGATCACAAATCGTATCTAGTCGAAGACATTACCCTCAAAAATTGAAAAAAATTCCCTCGTTCCCCGTAAACGGGGGAAATCCCCCAAAAAATTACAAATTTAAAAATCGCTAATTTTCGATATTTTTTCA